TGCTGTACCGGTGGTGTTTTGATGGTGTCTCGATAATGTCTCCATGGTGTCCTGGCGGTGATCATAGGGTGACTTTAAGGGGTTCGAAAACAAACGGTTTTTTATGCCAACACCACTGGCCACGGCATCGCTTGTGTCCCGCGAGCGCCAGAGACGAAATAAAGGCTGCCACCCGGCCCCTTGTGGCCGCGAGCTTCCCAAGGCCAAATAAATATCACCACGAACGCGGGGATGAGGAACCCCGAATTCGAAGCTTCGGGCAAATTCGATAATGAGATCGGTCGTGAGATCGAGAGTGAACTCAATGACGGTACCGGTAATAACTGCGATGGAGTGAACTCGCCAGAGAGATAAATTGATAGTGAGATCGATTGTGTGACAGACTGTCTGATCGATAGCGACACACGCCAAATGCACTGTCGGTGACCCGCCGGTGCCCACGCGGTCTCCTGCTCATGTCCACCTCCGCTCTGTGTATTATCCCTCCGCGTTTTCCCTCACGCTCCAGGTGGAAGGTGGCGACGGCGGCAACGGCGGCGACGGCATTCTCTGGGTGTCCCGCGGTGCCCCCTCTGCCGCGCGAGCGGTCGAGGGGGGGTGCCCCGGTTCGTGCGTTCGTGGCTCAAGGCTGCAGCGACGGCGACGGCAGCTCGCGAGTGCCCCGTGGTGCCCCCCCCCGGCCGCGCGAGCGGTCAAGGGGGTGTGCCCGGGCTTGGGCGATCCAGGCTGAAGGTGGCGACGGCGGCGCGGCATCAGGCGGGGATAGACCCACGTTCTGCCAAGCTCGGTGGCCCAGGCAATGCCAGGCTCTGTCGGCTCGGGCTACTGACGCGCAGTTCACTTGTGGGCGGTGGCGCGAACGCAGGAAAAAATGTCACACCGTCGGTAGCATTCACCCACGACACTGAGCAAGCAGCCATCACAGCTGGTGTCCCGAAGGTGTCCCGATCGTACAGTGGGATCGGTCATGGGATCGATAGTTGGATCCATCGACAGTGGGATTGGCCGTGAGGTCGATAGTGAGATCGATCGATGGTGAGGTCGATCGAGTGGGGTCGATACAAGTAGTGGAGTCACATCGCGACGCATCATCATCACCACGCGTCGTCGCCAACTCGAGGACGCACCACCAGCATCGTCATTATCGCAGCCATCACAACTGTCGTCAGTTGGTTCTTTTCCCCCCCAACCTCCTTATCACCCGAAGGGTGGTCGCATAGGCAATCCGAATTCTCCGGGAGTATTGTTCCACTTGTTTTGCTGTGCAGTGAACCGTCTTGCCGAGGTTCCATTGCAGCCGTGGGAAGGGCGAGGAGGCGGGGAGGAAGATGGAGGTGGGGAGAACAGGGGAATGGGAAGGGGGGAGAAGGGAAGGAAGGAGAAAGGGAAGTAGCCAGGGAGGAGAGAGAAGCGTTAGAGGCTGAGAGGCGAGGAGCAGGAGGCCAGCCACGAGGACGAGAACCATGAGTAACGAGGCGTAACGAGGAGGAGGAAAGTAAGGACGCAAAGGGAGGAGAGAGAACACGGACGCAGGGAAGAGGAGGCAGGAGGCATGGGCGAGGAGGAAGGAGGCGGGACAGGAGGACGGGGGGAGCAGGGAGGGAGGAGGAATGAGGCAGGAAGGACGAGGGGGGGGGGGGGGGGGGGCAGAGAGGGAGAAAAACGGGAGGAAAGTGGAGGTGGAGATGGAGGCCGAGATGGAGGCGGAGGTGGAGGCAGGGGATGCAGGTGGGGGGGGGGGGGGCGGAATCACACCTGTCCTCCTCTGGGCGCAGGCGGTTTCGCGGGTCTTCTCTTCCGGCTGTCCAACAGGGCATCCCCCCTGCCATCTCTCCCGGGGACGGGACCCTCCTCCACTCACCCTCCGCCCACCCTCCACCCGCCCCAGCCACTCATCCCTCGACGCCCCTTCCTGCACACCCAACCCCCCCCCCACCCCCAACCTCTCCATCCACCGCCCGCTCCACCCATCCCTGCACCCACCCCCAGCCACCCTCCCGCCCACACCCCGCCTCTCCATAGGGGGCCCCCAAATATACACCACCACCACCTCCCTCCCCCCCTCCCTCTCGCTGGAAAGAGGAGAGAGGAGGGGGGCCTCTGGGCCAAACTCGCTGAACAATCAAAGGTTGGTACATGATTTTGCAAATGTCCGCGCTTCGGCCTGCAGGACGTCCAAGACGGCCCAAGAAACCCCGAAGAGGAAGACGGCCCAAGAAACCCCGAAGAGGCCGAAGAGGCTCTCAAGAGGCTTCCAAGAAGAAGGCCGCTGACGGCCCCCAGACGGCCCCGAAGCCCCCAAGAGGGGCCCGCGATGCCCCAAAGACAATCCAGAGGGGCCCAAAAGAGCTTCCAAAAGGCCTCCAGACATCCCAAGAGGCCCCCGGCCCAGGATCCGGAGGCGAATCCAGCCGCGGCGGAACGGGCCGCCCAGGAGACCCACACAGGGCGGGAAACCTAAAACGTATCCTCCTCCGCCTGATCCTCTTGCTCCTCCTCC